CATGTTCCAATACTTCTGATCACCTAAAAATTGGTGTTCCATTACAAATCATATATTCTGTGTCATCCAGATGTAAACACCTGGAAATAAAAGCTGAAGTGTTATTCCTCTGTCTGATTTTCAGCTGTTGAAGTCGAACCAAATGCTCTCAGTTCACAACAAAAGTAAATGAATTCACTGTTTCAATACTTTTAGAGAGCAGTGCAGGTCAGAAAAGTATTTACTCCTTTTCTTCCTTCGTTCCTTACTTCCTTTCTTCCATCCTTCTGTTGCTCCCTGCTGCAGGAATCACCACAGTGAGTGAACTTGCACTAAGGATTTGGTTAGTGTTTAATTCCGGATGCCCTTCCCAACACAAACTGGTCTTAAATCCAGAAAATCTGATTTAGAAGACTGTGGCGCTGAGCTACAGCGATCTCAAGTCAGAAAAATCCTTTAATAGCAAAAATGTGGCAAAACGGCAAGTTTTAATAAAAATTCCTTATTGAAATAAAATACACACACAAAAAACGATGTAACAATAAATCCACATGAATACACAAAGCTCTGAGAAGCTTCGACCTTGAAGATTTTTTTTATATCTCAAATAAATATTTGTTGGTATTTGTCCTTGGATAAGTGTTTAATTAGCACATGTGGGTGCCCACGCGCACTCCTCAGAATATTTGTAAGGACATTATGGAGTGAAGGCAACCTTGAAGGACCAAAAAAACACAACTTGAAAATGAATCTATATTTTAACTTTTGTAGCAGCTGTGACAGTTGCAGATAAATGTCCACTTTTAAAAACAACCAACAACAAAAGTACCCGTTTTCATTAAACGAAAAATTAAAGATAAAATCTTAAACATATTTTCTTTTTTTTTTTGTGAGCACCAACATTTACCCCAAAATTTATAAGACAGGCTTTGATTTTACATTTGATTCAGTTTCTTGGAACTTTTAAATAGTTGTGTGAAAACTAATGATTTCTTAACATGTGAACTGGAACAGGGCAAAAAAATAAACCTAATAAAATCAATCTGTTTACGTCCCTTTCTTTACAAGATGGTTTCTAACAAAAAAATTATGACTACTAAATGGAAGAAAAGCTTTTATTAGTTATTATGAAAAAGAGCATTGTTGGATTTAAAAAAGTTTATAGGCCATCAAATCAAGGTACACAGAGGAGGAGAGGCCACGCTGGTGTCAATAAGATATCACAGAGTAGTTCTGCACATTTAAAGTTTTAAATGTTGTTTGATGAAAATCTAAAAGTGGCTTTGTTTTATTTCTATACACAAAATATATAAAGTGTATAAAGTTCTTATTGTAGCCAGCTGTTGCTCTGATTTACTCAGATTTGATGTCAACTCATGAGGACAAATAAGTATATGTTACACATCAACTGAGTGATTCATTTTCTGTAATCAACACATCAGTTTGACATATTATATCTTCTTGAGAATAATTAGCTCTTTTTAAAAAACATTGATATAGATGCACAAAAGGGCCTTTGAAATAAGTTAGAAATTCTCTAATCAATGAAGCAAAACCAAAAAGAGAAAGGGAACTGGTATAACTGCATAAGCACGTGTAAAATGACCAGTAAACAGCTGAGGCTAACTCAGTTGTAAACTTTGATGTGTCCATCTGTATGTCTGCATCACAGATCCATATTAATAAAACCTTTTGTAAATATAGCATGTTCAGCTAGTTTGAGTAGCATCTGTTAAAAAGTGGGTGAGCAATCGCATCATCTAGCTCTGAAAGAGATAAATCCTAAGAATTTGACACTCATTAAAACTGACAGATACAACTTTGTAAACTCTGCAAAGAAAATAAAAATAACCCATTGTATTTGCACAATGAACTTTGCTAAAAAAATAAAAATAAAAATAAAAAACAACAACTTTGAAGTCAAAAATGCTTCTTTTTTTTTGGTTTGATGAATCAAAATAGTTATTTTTAGATTTGACAAGATCTTGTGTGTGTTTTCCTGAAATTGACTGGTGCTCTTTAGTATAAAACATTATTGACGGCTAATCAAGTTAACTTCAGTTTTAGTTCAGCACTTTTAGTGTCACAAAGCTGGTAATTTTTTTAACTTGAGTCTTTGATTGCAGCAACTTATGCTGGAAACCTAATCTGTTCCTGAACATCCCTGAATAAGTTAAACCTGCATCGTTCAGGGACCAGGACTAACATGATGACAGCATGATCCAACAGTAAAGCATGGAGGTGGCGTGTGATAGTATGGATCTGCCTAATTTCTTCTTTAGTGCACGTCTTCTCCAGAAATTTCAAGAAACTACATTTACCCAAGAATGTCCGAAGAAGCAAAAAAATGACTTGTTTTGTTGTTGGGGTTTTTGTGTGTGTGTGCATCAAATGAGGTAAAAGTGGGGAAAAGGCAATTAAAAATATATATTTACAAAAGAACTTCCTCAGTTAACAGTGAAATGGCTATCAAAATAAAAAACGTATGAAGTCAGTGTTTATAAAATAATATTCTAGTTAGTTTTATGAATTCTTCTTTAAATATTAATGATGGCTGACACCACGTGCAGGAAGAAATAAAGCTTTTTTTTTTAACTCACTCCCTGCCTGTAGAAACAAAAAAGATGACCCTATAATTCCCTGTTAGCCTCAATGTAAGTTTGTACTGTCAACACTGTCACATCATCCTGTTGCCGCTCACTTGCTGCATGACAGTGGTGGCTCTCTTGTTAAATCAGAGGGAGGCAGTATCAGATTATCCAAGCTTTACAGCTGCTTCTGCTGAATGATTCACACACTATTGTCCTTCTGCGCTGGTGAGCAGCGTTCAGGAGCTCCGTCTGACTGACTGAACATCAGTCAGTCCCTGGAATCCCACAGAGAGTGAAATCAATCCATTTACATGCTGCAAGCTATGACCAATCCAAGGCTGTGGAGAATACTATGAGTACTACTGTATGTGTTTGTATAGTTTGTAAGGTTTGTTGCTTGGTGCTTATTATTATGTATTTTAGAAAGTATAAAAATGAAATGGATTAATTCAGATTTATGCACCCCCGTCAAAAAATTACATGATATACTGGAATCTAGATCAAAGATTGACCCAAAATTTGAGAATTAATCTCTAAATAAATTATAGCCGCTGGTGTTTTTTGCATGACAAAGAAAACATCACTGTCCTGAGTGCATACAAGTGAGTGTGCAAAAGAAATATGCAGCATGTACCCATTCATTCATAATTTGTTGTGTGCCCCAAAGACAAAACACAATCAGGATTTCAGTTGCAGCACAGGATATTTTATTGATTTGTCCCCTTTTTTAAAGATTTGCCCTTTATATCCACGAGCAATGAAAATCAGAATTGAGTCATGTGAGCTGGTCGAAAAGTGACTCGAAACAGCATACAAATCACTAACTATGTGTTTAATCAGTCCACATTGTTTTGAAGTCAATGATTTTATTTTAGTCTAAAAACCTATTAAGTGGAAGTCTTTGACAGTAAGTGACCGCAGTTCCTTCAAGGTCATTATTCTTTTTAATAAGTTTTTTAAATTCCCCTAAAGATAAACTTATATTAAACAACCAGTCAGATTTGTTTTATTTTGAAATTGGCATCACTAATAAGCAGCATGTGAAGTATAGTACTGATAGTGGCAAACATTTTGATGTTTAGCTATTTCCCCATTTATTCATCCATTATCTTTTCTTGTTTTTCTTTTCTGAGAGGCAGAGAGCTGGTGCTTATCTCCAGCAGTCCCCGTGTGAGAGGCAAGTACACCCTGGACAGGTTGCAAGTCCACCACAGGGACACATAGAGACAAAAAAGACAAACAACCACTTTTGTCCTCACATAGGGATGGTTTAGAGTAAGCAATTAACCTAACATGCACGTTTATGTCTGAGGGAGGAAACCTAAGCACCTGAAGAAACCCAACATGTGCACAGGGAGAACATACAAACTCCACCTAGAGAGGGCCCATGCTGGGAGGCATTCCTGCAACACAGTTACCAGATATATGATAACTATTGTAGTTTTATGATTGTTTTTATTTTGTGTTTGTTTCTACAATATTTAATCATTTTTTTTATAAAATCCAAATATACCATAGTTCGGCATTTCCAAGCACCAAAACCCCCTCATTTTTACTCACGTGGACATCCACATATCAGAGTCAGACCAAAGAGATCATGTGCTGACCAGGTGCAAGAAAACCCCAACCATAGACCCCGATCAAGAAACTATTCTATTCTTTTCCCCACCAGCAACAAAAAAACAGCATGAGTAAAAATTGCAGGTGATAGTGAGCCTACAGTTTTGCTGAATGACAAAGGGGAAAACTTGAAACTCAAACTTTACTCTATGACACGAACTATGTAAAAAGTTGTGTTTGTCCCTGAGAGGTCAGATCCACACTGTGACTGTGAACACAAACTTATCGACACAGACTCTTTGGCTTCAGACATCATTAATCATCTTTAGACTCACTCTGATCTTAAACTTTATCACTCCACATTACCCCGACATCAAGACAAATCTTCACCTTGGAACACTCAGATTTATGCTACAAGGACTTGCTTCTTGTCCTTATGATGCAACTTTGTGAAAATATTCACGTCCCTTGATGTCCCTCGCCCCACACTCTTGACAGGACATGTCTCAACCTAAACAGTACCATGGTGGAGGGTGGCAGGTCCCAAATGTCTTGCTTAACAATATATGTTATGCTTAATGAATTAAGTTGTAATGATCTAACTTAAAGTAATATGTTGAGAAGAGTGTTTGGTGTTTTTTCTTTATTTACCCAACAAAACAGCAGTGTTTGACACAATTTCTGTTGTTGCTGTTTAACGATGGATGGATATGTTTTTGTGATGTCTATACTTTATTATTCTGTTTAAACGCAGCTCATTAAACTGCATTTTTTTTTGCATCTGCAGGTATGAACATGCACTTTGAAAGGTATTGTAACTGTGGCTGTAACAAGCAGGTTTCTGTGTGTGCATGTAGGGAAATGACTGACCAGTTCTTTCTTCTTCATGCACTCCATGAGAATGATGAACAGATGTTGAGCCTGTGTGCGGCTGTAGGTGAAAGTCTTCTGGATGGTCACCAGCAACTGGTCTCGCAGAGACTCATTAATTATCCTGCAGAGGAAGAGAGGTGTGAAAAACAAGAAAGAAAAAGTGTCAGGGTGGAGGTAAATTTGATCGTTATAGAGCAACAAGAAAATTAGATTTAACACTAAATGAAAACATAGTTATCTGTGAGTCTGAGTCTAAAGTGGGATGTAAATTTGAAAACACACTTGTGAAATTATAAAAAAAAAAAAAAAAAACTGTTGACTAGTTTGAGAAATATACCCAAAATATTTTAAAGTTTAAATAAGACTATTTATCCTTCCAAATAGTGACTGCATAGCTTTATGTGTTTTAATGCTCAGTGGTTCAAAAGGGATACAGTTATATTTACCTAAATTTAAACTGTCTAATCCTGTGATTACCAGAAAAGTTTAGTCTAATAGTCTTTTGCATTTCAAAGTATTTATCAGTAGATTACTGCATTTTGTGTAAACTTTAGCACATACCCTCCCTCTTCAGAGTATTTGTGTCCAAAGGCCAAGATGTCTGAGGCTCTTCCGCTGCCATCACACACAACCACAGGGACCGGAGGCGTGTCCCTGAGGTACTCCAACACGATGGAGATCACATTAGGGCCTCCCTCTACAATAAGAGCCACTACAGGCACGCCCTGACCAATACCTGCACATAAAAAGGAAGCAGCAGAACCAAGAGGTGAGGAAGGAAAAGCAAAAGAACAAAACAGAAGTAAAGCTATAAATGCAAAGGCTTGAGAAAAGGTGGAGTTAGGAAAAAAATGAGAGACAAATAATTCATTACATCAGACAAACTGTTCTTCATTTCTTAGCAACAAGATATAAAAAGAGATTTGTACATGCAACTCTGGATTAAAAATAGTTTTTAGTTAAAGTTACAAGAAAAAGTTGTCAAAATTGCACTTTCATCAAATAAATCCAGAGCTCTCCGAGTTTCTTTTCTTAAAGTGCATTAATGTGTACGCGGTTATGTACGCGTGTTTGAAATATGTTTAACAGACAAAACAACAGCTTGCTTCTTCACAGGCTATGAAGGGTAATTATACAGAATTATCAGGCCTGTTGTTTTACACATGGTGAAACTATATGCAGTGATGATTTAGAAAATGTTCTTAATACTTGGATAAATCTCTAGCTGTGTATTTATTGAGAAACATTATCCCACATATCAAAATGTGGCTAAACAATAAGCAAGTATTTTGTCTCAGTATGTGGTGTGAAACCTCTTGCGCAGCAAAAACTAAATAAATAAAATAAACTGAAAATTTCCAGTAGCTGTACATAAGCATAGACAAATTGTTGTTCTTTTCATTCCACTAAACCCACTAAACAGTGTTTTGGGGTTTGTTCACAAGGACAGCTCAGATTTAACAACCAATAAATGTTGGAAGTCTAGCTTTTAATAATAATGTTATTTAAATCACTTTTTAACACTATTCATTGTATTTTTAGGATCACATCCTTACGTTTTGAACCACTTTCTGTAGACTCAATTCATACACAGCAAGACCTTTTAATAATAATAATAATAATGTGTGCTATCATAAATATATGTCGGTGTCATCGTGTCATGATCTTCAGCTCTCACTGGAGCAGTTCACAGTCGAGTGCGAAGCAGCTGGATGAGAATCAGCACCTCCAAATCTGAGGCCACGGTCCTCAGTCAGAAAAGGTGGAGTGCTCTCTTCTGGTCGAGGTTCTGCCTCAAGTGGAGGAGTTCAAGCGTCTTGGGGTTTTGTTCATGAATGAGGGAAGAGTGGAGCGTGAGATTGACAGACAGATTGGTGCAGCGTCTGCAGTGTTGCAGACTCTGTGCCGGTCCGTTGTGGTGAAGAGGGAGCTGAGCTGTAAGGCAAAGCTCTCAGTTTACCTGTCAGTCTACGTTCCTACCCTCACCTATGTCTACAAACTCTGGGTAGTGACTAAAAGAACAAGATTGTGGATACAGACAGTTGAAATGAGTTTCATCTCCAGGGTAGCTGGACTCTCTCTTAGAGATAGGGTGAGAAGTTCGGGAGAGACTCGGAGTAGAACCGCTGCTCCTCTACATCGAGAGGAGCAAGTTCAGGTGGTTCGAGCATCTGATAAGGATGCTCCCTGGGTGCTTCCTAGGGGAGGTGCTTCAAGCATGTTCGACTTGGAGGAGACCCTGGGGAAGACCCAAGACAAGCTGGAGAGACTGTCTCTCGGTTGGTTTGGGAACACCTTGGGTCCTTCCAGAAGAGCTGGAAGAGGTGGCTGTGGAAAGAGATGTCTGGGCCTCCCTGCTCAATCTGCTGCCCCCTCGACCCGACGTCAGAACAAGTAGAAGATGAAGGATGGATGGATGGATGGATGGATGGATGGATGGATGGATGGATGGATGGATGGATGGATGGATGGATGGATGGATGGATGGATGGATGGATGGATGGATGGATTGATTGATTGATTGATTGATTGATTGATTGATTGATTGATTGATTGATTGTTTGATGGATGGATGTTTGGAACCATATAGACATTTTAAAAGTGTTGGTCAACTCCTACAGTGCGACTTTGGGTATGCTAATTTTGATGTATAAATTTTTTATATTTTCTCTTAAAATATTATGGTATGTTTCAGAGTTTGATGTTTTGTAAATGATAACAAGCCTTTATGACTCAAACACATCAAAATATGTTCAAAATATATTACCACCATCGCCATGCTTTGAAGACTGAAGAAGTTTCTGTTTCTCTTCCATGTTGCTTCTCACACATGAATCAAATATATATTTTTAAACTCTCTTGATTATCACATACAATGAAATCATACCAAAATATTTTTTCTTTAATATTAAATGTGTACTATTTTTGTTTACCGGTAGTTTGTTTATTAATTATCTCTCATTCTAATAAAGTCATGCAGTAATTCAGAAAAAAAGAAACAGTATTACAAAATACATTTTAAATTTTAGATTTAAAAGTTTACTTTAAATTTTATTGTTCGTTTCCATCCTCCTGGCAGTTCTTACCCTTTTGTAAACCTCCATCCCTGTTCCATAGTATCCTGCATTCTTTTTTTTTTGTTCACTTTTCACCCATTTTCCATACATTTTCTGTCTTTTTCTAAAGTTTTTTTTCCCATATCCCCCCGTTTTCATCCACTCCTTTACTTTCTGCTCCACGTTATACAGAATGTTTGACTCTCCTAATTCAAAAGCTGTGTAAGTGCCTCATCTTCCCCTCGCTGCACCCTCATCCTAGTCTGCATAATTCACAGAGGAGAAACACGACTTGCCTGCCTACATACTGTATGCACACGCTCACACAAACATGCGCGAGCGAACACATTCAGGTCTATGCCCACCAATAGGCTGTTCCTCACACAGGCTTGTGTGGCCTCCCAACAGGGACAGTTACATAAGGAGAATATTTTCAGGGTCTCGCCTACTTCAAAGAGGCAAAACGTCACTGTGCTACAACACATCACATAACCACACATCAACAGAAGAGGAAGTGAGAGAGGAGCAGAATGACGACTTCCGTCTTGTTTCTGATTTTTCTGGTTTATTTTTAGACGTCTATTTTTGTTCTTTTCTCCATGTGTACTGCTACATCAGATCAAATATTAATATTGATGACTAGTGAGCTTTGGAGGTAATAACGTAGTATCTAATGCAGAATATTGTTCAACTGAAACCCACCAAGGAGCAGATGAGGAAGGGGAAGGTGCAGCTGTGTCTTGGTTAATTGGGAACAAAGGACATTTTGCTAGTGTGCATAAAAAAATCCCCCAAGAGACATCTTGCAACTTCACTTAGTGTCACAAATACAGAAACAGGAACATATGTATTAATAAATACAAATGAAATACAATGATTCGCTGCCCTTTTAGTCCAAAAGAGCTTTTAAGCTCCCATTTTTGTTAATAACCACAGCTTGTTGATGTATGTATTTTTTTTCCAAATACTAAAAAAAGTTATGTAAAAGCATTAAAACTAATAATGGCACATAAGTTAAATGCATAAATAATCAGGACTGAAGAAGTGAAATATTTTTTATGAGATATCCTGATGCATGCCCAATAATCCAGGTAGAAAAATCTAAAAAAAATTAAATCTGGTCCTCTGGACATTCAAATCCACTCTGAGAAGGTGCTATTTATAAGACTGAGCTGAATACAGCACCTCAGACTGAGGAAGTCTTTCGAATGAAAGACGAAACGTTTCTACATTTTTTTGTTGTTTTGCTTTGTTTTGTTTTTGAATGTCCGGAGGACCAGATTTAACTTTTTTTTTTTTAGATATTTTAAGAGAATTTTAAAAATCGCAGTTTCCTTTAAAAAATATTTCTTGTTTTCTTTTTTTATGCTGCCAAGGTGCCACACCACTTCACTATCCGGCTGATCGAGCCTGGCTCTGCTCTGACTCCACAGATGCCACATACTCTTCCTGTGAGACATTCTGCTCCCCTTCTAGCATCTGAATGTTACAGTTTTCAACATTCCCCTCGCTACAGGAGGCAGCAACCTCTGAGCTGCTGAATTCATGTTGAAACATCTCATTTCATTTATGATTTTGATTGACTTATTTTGACTAAGTAGAATTAAATTATGTATCCCAGCCATCTAAACCTTTTAAAAGTTCTGAGATATTTTAAACCTTCTTTCAGTAAAGCATTTTTATTTGGGGCTATCTAAAGTTTTACTTTCTAATTTTGTTGTGATTGCAGATATCTTTATCTCAATTCTGATTAGTAAGTATGTCATTGTGACATGAAAATATGCAATAAGTGACATTTAAAATAGTAATTAAAGCGAGGAATGTTATTTGGACAGGGCATCACTGTTTGCGCAGATTAATATGTATGCACACTTCAGTTTCACTGGGCGCTCAACTATCAGGCGCAAACATAACTTAATAATCTCCCCTGTGTTTGAACAGGAAATAGACAGCATTTTTGATGTTAACAGTGATAAAAATGACTGGTACCATACAGAAATGACATTTATGACACAATCTAAATATAAAGCTCATTTTAATATTCTCTTTACTTTTCTAATGTTTGATTTGATTTAGAGTTTTTTCTTTCTTGATGACAGGTGTTGTGCTGCAAGACAAGATGCTACTCTGGGTGGTGAACTGCATTGCCCAATGCAATACTAAATAAATATATACCAAATTTAAATACCAAAATACAAACATAGAAAATATTCTGAACACAAATAACTGAAAGAGAAACTAAAGCTCAGCTAGGAAAAAACACAAAAATCCCACAACCACAACTTCCATGGAAAAGTTTAGCATTTATGGCCTGCAGCTGTACTGAACAACATCAGCAATAAAGCTGCCAACGATGACCAACAATCAACCACGCATGAAAAAATATTAATACTCAAGTGTACTGACTAGCAGAACAGACTGTAAGGTGTGATCTTAATGAAAACCTGTGCCAACGGCGTTTGACAGGACTGAAGCTCTGTTGCATTTCTACACATCCTCCACAGGTGAATGTTATTGGTTTAACGTTGAAATACTGGAAATAAATCTTTAAAAGGAAATATTTTTATATTTTTTACAGTGAAAACATGATTTATGTTTAAAACAATTGTATAATTGTGTCTCCTTGCTCTTTAAAGGTACTAGTATTTGTGTTAGTATGTATGGATTAGGGCTGCATGAT